AGATAGATAGATAGATAGATAGATAGATAGATAGATAGATAGATAGATAGATAGATAGATAGATAGATAGATAGATAGATAGATAGATAGATGCATGTTGACATCATTAAACCTCTTTTCTTCACCTTTCCCTACAAGGCAACATGTAATTTTGGGCATGTAGCCCATCCCTGTGGACGTGGTTTGTATGCTTTGCCGTCTGTATTTTTATCAACACAGAGTCATCCACCTGTCAGGCTCATAATATTATGACTGCTTTTTACAGAATGCTTTTCAGGAAAGCCCTGCTCTGAGGGCACCTTTGTCTCAGGACAGAAGTGTTTTCTCAAATACAAATGCTGGTCCCGTTGCATTGATGCATTCGAAGTGACAGGGGTCAAAAAGGGTTATACAGTGGTGAGCGTGTGCTTGAGTCAGGTAGATATTATGCTAAATGTTTGTGTAGGTGTGTTCCTCTGTGTCATTTTTTTGACTCCCGTGTGCCTACATGAAGTCACATTTGTATTTTCCTCAGGGAATGCGAAGGGAATCTTTTCTATTTTTGTTGTCACGGTGGCCTCTTTTATCTCGATGGGTTTGGTCCATAGAAGAGCGTGTGGGTGTACTCACAGACTTGCTCGTCTGTGATTTGTCCTGTGATTCACTGTGGGAGAGGAAGTGTGTGGTGAATGTGTTGACCTGGTTATCATGTTTTGCGGCGCTTAGGAGCGCAGGCAGGGTGATACAGGTTTTAGAATGCAAGGTGCCAATCGAGCTGTGAAAATGGGAATTGAGTAGGGAAATGGGAATAGCTCCCTGCTGGTTTGTAACCTTCGCAATGTTGTGTGGAGCATTCAGCGTATGCACACATCTTTTATTCAATCGATGTGGGTGTATGTGTGTGCTGCATGCGTGTCTCTGTGCTTACATTATTTGATAGAGTGCACCTTTTCTCTGCATGTGCGTCTGTAATTGTGTCTGTGGGGTAGCATATTCATGACATGTCACACAACAGAATTGAATTAACCTAAATATAGTCTAGTGGATAGAGAGTATAGAGCACTTGAAAGGGAACAGCTGAGGGATTGAGCTGAGGACCATCTAAGTCTTAGATGGAAAGCATAAGCACTGCAACGGTGTGCAATATTACTCCAGAGTAAAAACCACAGACAGCTTTTAAACACTGGACATGATGGCTAATGCGCTACGCCCCTCCTTTAAGCTGTTCTGAGAGGAAGGGAGAGATGAAGCTAGTTCTGGGATCCTTGGCCAGCCTAGATAGCGTAGCAGCAGCACCCATTAATGCGATTACAGCTTTTAGTGGGAGATTTTCAGGGCCAGTTTTATTCTGAGACGTCATTAGTTTATCCTCCTTTCTTGTTCCCTGTCGGTGTGTCAGCAGACAAATATACACATTCACATCGAGGAGCAACCTAAACCTAGACACTCTGATTGCTTATACGCAAAATGAGCCGCATATGCACTGGTTCACATGCATGTAGCCAACGCATGACTTAATCAACACCCATTCGTGATTATAGCCTATATTTGCCATTGTGCAGCCACAGAAGTTATTCCACACTTATATTTACAAAAAGTCCAAAGAGAACAGGCACAATTAGTCTTTATTTAAGAGATGATAAATTAGTCTGTAGTGCAGTTAGCACAACTGTCTGCGCTGCAGTTTGAAAACCTTTTGATTAGCGGTCCAAAATGTGCCTTATAATTCAGAAGCCTTTATCATTATTCTTTGTAATCAAAACATGATTTCACAAAGACCCTCCTTTAATTTAAAACTCCCATTTCCCATTTATTTAGTGGTGCACTGCCATTCATTTTGGGTCTCATCTGTTCGAAAATTCTTATACGGCATGCTTAACATGTCGTGGAATTTGTGTGGCTGCCTAACAAACCGTGAGGTTCTTCTTAGCAACTCAGTGCAGCAGGTTCATTTCATAAAGTCACCATTTATTAAACCTCAAGGCTAGACAGCAGCAAAAGCCTATATTGAGGTCATCTTTCAGGCAGTGGGAAGAAAAGATTGTCAGAGACGGAGGGAGGACACAAGCCGCGATATCTAGTGTCATGCTGTGTTTTGGCAGAGTTTAGATGGACAGAGCCAGGCGTCTTACTGGGGAGCGGCTTGCCTCAGTAGGCAATATCACTGCCAGCATATAAGGTCTTTGAGTGCGGTCCAAAAAAGTTTGCGAAATGACTTCAAACTGTTTACTTTTTTTTCTTCGTACCTGAGCGTGTCAGACACTCAGGTAAGCACTCAGGTGCTCTCAGGATTTGTGTCTGTTCTTGTGTCAGTTTGTAATATATGTTTGTGCTATTGCAAGCATGTGCCTGTTTTCTGTGTGTGTGTGTGTGTATTGGTAGGCAGGATGAGCATCCCTTCTGTTACCGTTGCTGTCCCTTCATTTCACGCTCCGGCAGCTCCGCGTGAATCCTCTTCCCTTTGCTCATTATCAGTGCTGTTCAACGAACGAGCAGCCCACCAGAATGCAGGGTAAAACCAAATCATTATTCAAGTATGGGGGTCAGTGCAGACATTGTGACTCTTTTGTTTAGTATATTTATTACTTTCCCTTCAGAGCAAGCAGGATGCAGGACACATCTCTGGCCTGAATGATTTTGTGAGGTGGTCGATCTTTAAGTATCTTACCTGAGATAGATGAACACTAGTGGAGTGTCTGGTTTTTTTATTGGATGCTGATTGCACTCTTCTCTGATTTTTCTTGGCAGGGTCCAGCGTGCACGGAGCAGAATTCGGGCACCTGCCGGACAACATTACAGTGCTGGAAGGCGAAAGCGTTACTTTGAGGTAACTCTTGATCCTACACCTGCACTGACTGATTACATGAAAAACATGTTTGCCTTCCCACCACCTGTCACACTAGTATAATTGCCAATCCTCTGTCACATAACTTCAATTAGGCATCCCATCCTGTGCCATATCTTCCATCTCTGTTTATTGTAGCTAACTGACTAATATCTGTCAAATGTCACTGGAGTCACCCAGTCCTTCTGAAGTCCAGTCCTGCTCGGTTGGTGGACCCTCACTGCATCCAACCACAACTACCTAGCTGTGAGTGATAAATCAGAAATCACAGCTTTTCTCTGCTTCCAACCAAGCAAAAAAAAAAAAACCCAGCCAACTTGCTTTTTTTCCTCCTTGCATAGATGTGATCTGGCTTGGCAGTACACTCAGCAGTGCTAGAGAAATAGTGCCCCCCCCCCAAAAAAAAAATTCAAGTCAACATTACTTCCATCACCTTTAAACCTACATATCTCCAACAGCTCTGAGCAAATTCTCAAGTTCCCTTTTCCTTTAAAAGAAGACTGGCCTTCCACAAAGATCAAAGCTATTATTCTGAAACCAAGTACATTCTGTCAATTTTCATTAACATGAAAATGTCTCTCTAAAAAATTTAAATGAAGAACGCTGGAAACCCCATTCTTTTCAGGAAATTTAACTTTAATGGTTCTATTAATAAATAAAGTAATGTGTATAGGATTGTTTTGACCCCC